GCATCAGCAACAACCTTTCTCAGTGGACAAAGACACGTGTCTCCACTGCAAGCAGAAAGGGCATTACAAGAAAGACTGCGCTGCTTGGCTGAAGTCAGTCATGGCAAAAAGAGGTAACAATATAGTTTCATTTGTAAATGAATCCTTGTATACACAGTTTTCAAAATCCACTTGGTGGATTGATTCAGGAGCAACTATTCATGTTGCGAATACTTTACAGGGATTCCATTCGACGCGAACTACGCTAAGAAGCGAAAGACGCATTGAAGTGGCAAACGGAGTTGAAGCAGAAGTTGAAGCTGTCGGTGACATCTCCTTGGAGTTAGCTGGCGGATTCAATCTTCTACTTAGAGATGTTTTATTTTTTCCATCATGTCATAGAAACTTAATTAGTGTTTCTTGTTTGGACAAAGATAATTATGAATGTCATTTTGGACATGGCAAGTGTGCCATTTGGTATAATAATGCTTATGTGGGTGATGCTTTACTCCATGATGAGCTTTATTTGTTATCACTTCGTGAAAAAGTTTATTCCGTTTGCAATGTGAAAGAAAATGTTTTCGCGTCGAATAAAGAGCAAAAGAAAAGAAAAAGAACATCCGACTCATCGAAACTATGGCACTGTCGTCTGGGCCATATTTCGAAGGGGAGAATAGAAAGATTAGTCAAAAGTGAAATTCTTCCTGCGTTAGAATTTTCAGACTTAGAACAATGCATAGATTGCGTTAAAGGAAAGTACGTAAAATAAATCAAAAAAGGTGCAATCCATAGCACAGGCACACTAGAAATCATCCACACTGATATTTGTGGACCATTTCCGGTGAAGAGTGTGGATGGATATGACTCGTTCATAACATTCACAGATGATTACTCTCGCTATGGATATATTTATCCAATCAAAGAAAGATCTGAAGCGTTGGATAAATTTAAAATATTCAAAGCTAAAGTTGAAAATCAGCATGATAAAAGAATAAAGATAGTTAGGTCCGACCGTGGGGGAGAGTACTACGGTCGGCACACTTCATATGGCCAAGTCCCTGGACCTTTTGCAAAGTTCTTGCAGGAGACTGGCATAGTTGCCCAGTATTCAATGCCGGGCGAACCTCAGCAAAATGGAGTAGCTGAAAGGCGCAACCGTACACTTATGGATATGGTGCAGCATGATGAGTTATTCCAACTTGCCATTGGGATTATGGATGGAGGCGCTTAAAACCGCCATTCACATTCTCAATAGATTACCAAGCAAGTCGGTGCCCAAAACACCGTACGAGCTATGGACAGGAAGGGTTCCATCCCTACAACACTTTAGGGTGTGGGGGTGCCCTACTGAGGCCAAAATGTTTAATCCAAACATTGGAAAGTTAGATCCCAAAACAGTGAGTTGCCACTTCATTGGCTATCCAGACAAATCAAAGGGTTTTCGTTTCTACTGCCCAAACAGATATACAAAGTTTGTAGAAACGAGACATGCAGTCTTCTTAGAGGACGAAATGATGAGGGGGAGCTTGGTAGCTCGGAAAATTGATCTTGAGGAGAAGAGGGTGCATGCACCTAATCCGATGATCTAGGAGCCATTTTTCTCACTACCAGTTGCAACTCCACCCATGACAACTATGGGGGCAGACCCGAAACCTGTCCGTCAGGAGCCGATTGAACCCGTTGTTGGGCATGAAAGAGAGGTGCAACAGCAAATTTTAGAAGAAGTGCCAGAAGTTGAGGCACAGAATGTGCCAGAAACTGAGGCCCTTAGAAGGTCTACAAGACCAAGTCAGCTATTTCTACTGACTTTAAAGTTTATAACACAGAAATGGTTCATATGGAAAAAGATCCCACCTCATATGAAGAAGCCATGAGAAGCCCTCATTCATCGATGTGGATGAAGGCAATGGAAGACGAGATGAAATCAATGAGTTCCAAAGATGTTTGGGACTTAGAGGAAATTCCTAAAGGAGCCAAATCAGTAGGCTGCAAATGGGTCTACAAAATTAAGTATGACTCTAAAGGGAATATAGAAAAATATAAAGCACGACTCCTGGCAAAAGGATTTACACAAAGAGAAGGGATAGATTACAAAGAGACATTTTCTCCGGTCTCATGTAAGGATTCCTTCAGAATCATAATGGCATTAGTTGCTCATTTTGATTTAGAGTTACATCAAATGGATGTAAAGACGGCATTTCTCAACGGAGATTTAAAAGAAAATGTCTACATGAAACAGCCCAAGGGTTTTATCATGAAAGGCAAGGAAAATATGGGATGCCGCCTAAAGAAATCCATTTATGGATTAAAGCAAGCCTCTAGGCAGTGGTATTTAAAGTTTAATCAAACGATTAAAAGTTTTGGATTTAAAGAAAATATTGAGGATAACTGCATTTATGCAAAGTTTAAAAATGGGAAATATATTTTCCTAATCTTGTATGTGGATGACATTCTGCTTGCTAGCAGTGATGTTAGTCTACTACAAGAAACAAAGAAGTTCTGATCCTCGAATTTTGACATAACAGATCTTGGTGAAGCATCATATGTTTTGGGCATAGAAATTCACCGAGATAGAAACAATGGAGTCTTAGGACTATCGCAGAAAGCATATTTGGAGAAGGTTCTTAAAAAGTATAAGATGCATGCGAGTAAAGCCACACCTGCTCCTATAGTTAAGGGCGATAATTTTGGGAAATTTCAATGTCCCAAGAATCAGTATGAGATCGATCAAATGAAAGGAGTACCATATGCTTCGGCAGTTGGCAGCTTACAGTATGCACAAGTGTGCACTCGCCCTGACTTAGCCTTTATCACCGGGGTACTCGGTAGATATCAAGAGAATCCAGGCATAGAGCACTGGAAGATGGTAAAGAAAGCATTGCGTTATGCGCAAGGCACGAAGGACTACATGCTAACATACAGGAGATCTGATTCCCTACAGATAAAAGGGTATTCAGACGCAGATTTTGCGGGGGACAAAGATGATAGAAAATCCACGTCAGGATATGTATTCACCATCGCTGGGGGAGCTATTTCGTGGAAAAGCTCCAAACAGTCGACAGTTGCATCATCCACGATGTATGCAGAATTCATAGCATGCTTCGAAGCCATGGGGCAGGCGATATGGCTAAAGAAATTTGTACCCGACTTGAAAGTGGTAGATTGTATTCACAAACCACTAAAGATGTACTGCGACAATCAGCCCGCGGTATTTTACGCTCACAACAACAAGTCGAGTAATGCTGCCAAAACAATAGAGATAAAGTATTATGTTGTGAAAGATGAAATCCAGGATCAAACTATAAGTCTCGAGCATATAAAGACAAAAGATATGCTTGCGGATCCGCTAACGAAAGGCTTACCACCCAATGTGTTCAAGGAACACTTAGCCGGCATGGGTTTAAGGGAAAGCCTTATGATTCCTGGATAGGCCCAAAAGGAACAGAATTTGTTTCTGAACAAAACGTATGTTGTAGCTGTATGATTCTACCGGCATTTAAGCTGTGACGATGAAACCTCTATGTACCAATATGTGATGAAACAAATAAACTAGAAAGTATAAGGTTAAAAGTAAAGTTGAGATCAAGGGGGAGAATGTTAGGTTGATCTCTCCCGTGTGGGCCCAACGGCCCAACGGACCCCCTGATCCGCGCCCTGATCGGGGGCGCCCAACCACAATATGGTTGACGGGCCCCTGTCACGCAGCGCTACATAAAGAGGTGGGGGCCGCCGGCACACAGTACGAGGTTCACCGCGTTGCCAGGCTCCCCACCGAAAACCCCGACCCGATCTAGGTCTAGCGCTGATAGTGACGGGAAGCTCCGCCGCCACCATCTCAGCCCACATCGCCGCCGTCTCCACACCACCATGGCCGGTGCTGGATCGAGTTCATCTGCACCAGGAGAAGGTAGGTTCACCGGATCTCCTAGCCCACTCTGATCTAAGGTCCTATCAGGGTTATCATGTCATAAGTATTAATAATTTATATGAATTTGGGAGGACCATAATGATAGTTTGTGAGCATTTAGGTATGCACTCCCTTCGTATTATATTTTGATACAGAAGGAGTATATTAATGGTCGTCGTATCATGAGCGTGTAGGTTTGGTCGGCGGTGTCGTCAGCGTTCCTAGCTGGTCTTGCCTAGTCGGACGACGAAGTGGTGCCGGTGGTGTAAGTGCAGGCGCGCACACGAGTTGTTCGATCAAATTCCCACTAGAGGGAGATGAGAGGAAGAAGAGATATGATGAATAGAAGAGAGAACTTTTGCCACGTCAGTGAAGACACGGTCAAAGTCAGCAGCAATACTGGCTTGGCTGAGATGAGGGACTAAACTTACCCGGTTTGAAGAGTTGAGGGATTAAACTTACCCGGTTTGAAGAGTTGAGGGACTAAGCATTGCCGGTTTTGAAGTTGAAAGACAGAATCTAAACTTTCGAAAGAGTTGAGGGACGAAAAATATACTTTTCCCTTAATAAAAATGCATATTCGAGTAACAATATGCCTTCTTAGATCTAAATCGAAGCATGTTCCAGAAATTCTCTACCCATATAGTGTAACAGGCTAACAGCAGATGACAAGCATTTCAAATGCCATCTTTGTGCAACACATGCTGAGCTTGCACAAGGCAGAGTGAGTTTCACGAGAAGAAGAGAACAGTTGATGTGGAAGAAAACGCAAGGAGGATGCAGCAAAACAAATGGCTGAAATTTCACACTACAAAACTGAAAACAATTCGCCTAAAAGCATTCAGCAGTCGGTGCCAGTGTGACGCTATCACTGAAAACGAAAGAGGCGCCCCTTCCTTTCGAAATCCAAAGGGAAGAGGCGTTAATCATGAGCCACAGATCAAGATTAATTCCTGCTATGTTTTGTTATATTCACAATCAAAATAATAATGTTCAGATTACAATCTCTAGAACCCTGCGTCTCTAAGCTCCCCTTCACAAAAAACAGTGGAGAGAAGCAGAGAGTCACATTTCAGAAATTATTTACAGTGCTGCCTCCGTCACATTTCAGATTTCAGAGGTCGGCGAACCAGTCGTCCTCGTCCTCCTCGTTGGGGTAGTGGCGGTAGCGGTCGAGGTCCTTGTCCGCGAGGCCGTAGCGGCGGCGCCAGTACTCGAGCGTCGCCTCCGCCTCCCGCATGTTGCTCATCACCCTCTGGTACGCCGCGTTGATCCGCTCGAAGTCCACGCTGTTTTCTTGGCGCACGACGTCCGGGTGGTACTGCAGCGCGAGGCGGTGGAAGGCCTTCTTGACCTCGCCCCTGGTGGCGCCCGGCTGCAGCCTCAGAGTCCGGTAGTGGTCCTCCTCCAGCGCCCCGCCCGTATGCCTCGCCGGCGCCGCCCCGCGCGCGCTCCCGCATCTCACCGACGACGACGCCGTCCCACACCGCCGCGCCGGCGCCACTGAAGCCGACGGGACGCGCAGGTTGAGCACTACTCCCCCTCTGGTGGCCATGGCTGTATGTACCCACACGCGCCAAGAGATCACGAGACGGCGAGATGAATCGATGGAAACGATGGGGATGGAGCCGTGGGAACTTTGGATCTCCCGATGTGTTCTCGCTGTTGACCGCGTGGTGGAGCTGGAATGGTGCGGTTGGAACTTGGATATGGACGAGGCTGCCGCGTGGTGGCGCGTGAGATTTATAGGGTGGAGGAGGAGGCGGTTGGCTCGCCGGAAGGAGCGGCGCGTCTGGGCTACGCACGGTTGTTTTGCAGGAGTGGAGTTTCCCACGTTGCCATTGCTCGCACGTTTTGTCACGGATGAAACTTGGCGAGGGGGAGACACCGCGGCGTCACTATCCGTTCCGTTTCTTTTTTCAAAACGCCCGTTTTGACTGGATTGAGATGCCCCGTAGGAAGGGAGCTGGTTTTGGCTGTTCTGGGGAAAAAGAAAAGAAAGCTTTCATGTCAAGTTTTTGAAGTGAAAGACGTGTTTTTCAGTTTTCAGCACTCAACAATTGACCAAGTACTAGTATTTACAATGCATATTCCGAACGACATGGAGTTTCTCTGTTCCCGCCTTCCCGGTTGCTTGTGCGCCTCGATGGATACAACTTGAAAAAATACTCCCTCTGTCCCATAATAGTGTCAAAAACACTCTTATATTAAGAAAATAATTATCATCAACCGACGGTACTCCCATTCGGTACTCCCATCCGTGCTCCCTCTTCATCTATTATTAATCCAACGGCTACAACATTTTCCCTCTCCGCGCATTACTTTTGCAGCGAAAACAAAAGCAAAACTCCAGGTATTTTCCTCGCGTACGTATTCTTCTTCCCCTATCCCATCTTGCGGACCCGGAGTCAAGCATGGAACGGCCGTGAGCTAGTCTTGTAACCACCTCAATCTGTACCCGTCGCCGCTCCCTTCTGATTCCCTGAGTGAAGAAGCATGGACAGACACTACGACTGTGAACTAGGCTGCCACGAGCCGCCGGTCTGTAGCGCGAGGTCGCGGCATCGAGCATAGCCGCATGGACGCCGTCAGGCTGGGCGGTGCCCCCGGTGGTGGCCGGCTGGTGGACGAGGACGACCATGGTGAGCGTTTTGCTCCGTATGTAGTCCACCTAGTGAAATCTCTACAAAGACTTATATTTAGGAACGGAGGGAGTAGATGCCATGCATGGCACTTCTCTTTCGCTGCATGCCAGCGGCACGATTCAGGTCGACTCGGCTGTTGGGGATCTTCTTTTTTTTTTGAGCATCGGCTGTTGGGGATCTGAGAGTACGATTTGAGATATGCCGTTCATCTCCTAGTTGTGAGACAGCAGCAGCAATATCCAAAAGCTTAACCCAAGTTCCATTTACAGGTTACAGCATGCTTTGTAGGAACGTCACTTGTATGATCCTGCAAGACCTCACTTCCATTAGAAAAGGAACGGTATTAGCACAGTTCCACCAGTAGTCAATATCTGGACTCTGACAATGTTGTACACCACCGATTCTTGCACGGTTGAGATATGCAAGTCTACCTTTCCCTACCTGCTTCCCATCGGTATGGGGATACAATTCCTAATGACTTTAGTAAGGGGTTTGCTTCAGTATAAGTCATAATGTCTGTAGAGCAATTGAATTTCATCATACAATGGCGACGCCTCGGCGAGGTCCAGGCCGAGGTAGAGTAGGAACGCGGCGCCTTGTCCGCACGTGCACGAGGGGCACGGACGATGGATGAGTCCAACGGCTTCGTCTCGGCAGAGGTGGTCTTGCAGCGGGAGAGACCCGGCGTCTGGACGTGGGTGGCGCCACCGCGGTGGTGACGAGCCAGCGTACTGAAACTTCTCGACGCCGACGTTCCACTTGCCAGGCAACGTACCCCGGTCGGTGCCGCGACCCAGGCGACGAAAGGAAAATAGAAGAGGTCGCCATGGGAGGAGAAGGACAAGCGGACGACACCGCCGCATGGGAGGAGATAGAGACGCTGGGGGTTGCCCCGTCCATCTGCCTCCACCGTCTGGGTGTCGCCTCTGTGAGACTCTGATGTTGAAGGGAATGGGGAAGATACGTGCTGAGAGAGAGGAGAAGTACAGTGGACATGAAAATACAAAATCTAATTTCTTTTTGTTTTGTTGGAAAAAGGAACGTCAAGAGGAGGAAACGTGGCAACCGTCGGATAGAAAATGGTGTGTGCGGAGCACCGATGGGAGCATACCCGGGGAGCAGGCAAGCCCCGTCCGATTTCAGCACCCATCCACCGCCTTCCCTGTGCGCCACGTGGGCCTGCACCACTGCTCTCCTTTTCCTTCTTATCTCCAACGAACAAACCACATCCACATCTTCTTCCTCAACCTCGTCCCTTACCTACAGATCACTTCCATGAATGTGCATCGGCCCAAATGTCGCTCCTCCTCTACCCACACCCCTCCTCTTCTCCTTCCTCCTCTTTTCTCTATTTCCTCTGTGAGGCATGTCGTCGTCGCCCTAGAGGTGCACCGGCGTGGACATCCATGGCTGTTGCCTCCTCGAGGTCAACCACAAACTTCAGTACCGTGCGCAACAACAGTTCCAACAACGTCGCTGTTGCAATGCCGGTTACGACGTGGTAACTTTTTTGTAACATGGTCTTTGTTGCAAAAATAAATTGCAACATGGGTCTTGTGGCACGACTACAAAGAAGAGGCTGGAAATGGTGCTGTAAATTTTACAACAAGGGTCTTGTTGCAGAAAAACAAAGAAGAGACGGAGATGTTGTAGTAAATTTGGCAAGAGGGGTCTTTTTGCAGGAATGAGGTTTGCAACAAGTGTCCTGTTGCAGGAAAAGAAGAATATTTTTTTTGCAGCAAGGGTCTTATTGCAGGAATGAGTTTGGAACAAGGGCCTTGTTGCAGGAAAATAGAAAAGGAGGAACAGATGGCTCACGTCATTCAACCAGACGGCTCATGAGGCGGCGGGAAACATTATGGATCATTCGGCGGATCGCTCACTCGTGTCCGCTGCCTTCCCGGCTTGCCACACGTCGCACGCGGGGGCATATCAACCGTTCTTCTCTTCCTTATCCCAACATCCACTCATTCTTTCGTTCACTCTCCCATCCCGTACCTCTATCTCTCCATCCCCTGCCTCTTTCCATGGATCTCATCTCCATCTCTTCTCAAACAAGCACGCTGCTCCAGCCCCACACATTCGCGGCGGCCACCAGCGTCCTTCTTCTGCTGCGAAAAGGTGGGGTGCTGCAGAGATCACAGGGTACTCTCTCCGTTGCAGCCATTAGCGTTCTTGCAAGTTTTCGCAACAATAGTCTTGTTGTAGGAATACATAGAAGAGGATGGCGATGTTGGGTCATGTTGCAATGGAGATTTTGAAATGAGGGCCTTGTTGCAGAAAAATAGAGAAGACGAGATTTTTCAACAAGGGTCTTGTTGCAGAAAAATAGAGAAGAAGAAGTTTTGCAACATGCGTCTTGTTGTAGAAAATGAGAGAAGAGAAGATTTTGCAACAAAGATCTTGTTGCAGAAATTTGGAGAAGAAAATATTTTGTACCATGGGTCTTGTTACAGAAAATTAGATAAGAGGATGTTTTGCAACACGAGCACTGTTGCAGAAAATGAGAGAAGAAGAACGGACGGCTCGCCTCGTACAATTAGACGGCACACAAGGCGGTGGATCTTTAAAAAAGATCCACTGGCAGATGCATAGCATAGCCCTTTTTTTTACAAGACACATGTCGGAGTGTTCTACCACCGTGCAAATTTTTTTGATGGCATAGCATTGGCTCAGGGCCAAAAAAAAAACAAAATCGGTACTTAAAAAAGCTCTTTTTTGAAGCATTTTTGGCTGCTAGTTTTTTTTCCTACCCAAAGCGTCATGAACGTGATCACTTCACGAAAATTAAAACGTTAGGGAGAACTCCCGGAGAACACTCATGAATGTTTGTCAACAAAAAAAAAGCAGATTTTTTAAATAGTTTCAGGATTTACCGTTCACCCGGCTGCATTTGCACCCGGGAGCATAATGGATTAATTGTACTTTTGATATTACAAACCTCAACTCCAAAACTGGATGATTTACTTCTTTATTTTGTAAAACCGGATAAATACAACTCTCACCCGTCTGGTGCATCATAACTTCTCGTGCATATAGCTCTGATTTAATATTTTAGAACTTCCAAATTTTAAAAATATATGCAATATAGAAAAAAACATCAATATGTGATATAAAAAGTTCAAGTCAAATTTTAAAATATAACTGAAAATAAAAATGACAAATCGGCATCAATGCTGATAATGGGCCAATATAAAGCCCAACTTACACTGGATACTATGTAGTGCCGAATATTTATCTTTTAATCGTCATGTCTTATGATTTTTCATTTGATTTTTTGCCACATGCTAGATACAAGTGTTACCTATGGGACTGTTTTCCTTTTAGATTTTCCAGAACTTTAAAGGTTCAAATTGACGTCATCATGGCTACATTATTTCCACACCAATTAAGAAAGATGAAAAAACAAAGGTCAGATTTTTTTAAGTCCAAGGAAAATGTATTTCCTTTTATTTTTTGTAAATATTGAAAATGTAATGAAAATTTTAAAATATGAGAAAGATAAACATCTGACCAAAATAGTTTTTTTTAAAGCACCAAAGCTTTTAATTCAACGGTGGTTGGGCATATCACCCAAGACACAGACGCCCACATGGGCGGGTACATCAGACTCCCACTGCATACAGTGGTTGGGGACACATACACGTCCAAGGTTCGCTAACTCATGGGCTACTGAATTAGCACTCCTTCTACAAACAGAAATCGAGAATTTAGAAAACCAAAGTTTTAGTTGATATTTCATGTCTTCAATCACCGCTGCATACGCCGAGGAGTCCACCTTTCCCAGATCGAGAGCTTCGGCTAGAAGTTGTGAGTCGGTTTCAAGCTCCACCCTGACCATGCCCATTTCAGCTGCAGTGGTGATCGCATGAGCCATGGCATAGGTTTCAGCAGCAAACACATCATACAC